ATGGTATGAGCCATGCAGGTGGGCTTGGATACAGCCCCCTGCAGGGAGGAGAGCAAGCAGGTGAGGGTGGGAGTGCAAAACTCAGGCAGTTGCACATCAGATGTTGTCAGAGGCTTTTGAGGAGTAACATCTCACATCTCAGGCTTTCTGCAGTGAGGGATGAGATCCCCAAAACACAATATTTTCAAGCTATGCGGCTCCAGCCCCATGGGTTGTCCCAACACCCATGGGGTGAATAAGTACAGCGGAAAAGCCTGAGCAACTGCTGCCAAACGACTGGGAAGATGCAGCCCACGGTGTCTGTTGTGTCTGAGATCTCTATAAAGTCTCTCGCATCTTTCCTCAAGTTTAGTTTTCCAGTGGAGGCTGTTGCAGTAATGAGAATGTCTCCCATCTGCTCCTCACATGGCTTGGCACATTTAGCCAGAATATATATATTTTTATTGTGGGGTTAGCCGGTGGTAACCATGACAATTAGACTTATCACGCAGCATTTTTTTTCCCTCCTTGAGTCAGTTTGAAATGCTGACAATTAAATAGATACAGTACACTTTAGAGATCCATCAGTCTCTTTGTTGTCTTGACAACCAGAGTATATTTAGAAATGTAACAAGTACATGGAGTTCAATTGCACTTTTGCTAAAACATAGTTTTGTAGCTTGAGAATTTAATCTGTTGTTTGTAGGTCCAGGTGCTTATTTGAGCTGTGCCTGACTTTCTCTTGTGTCTCTCTGGGAAGCTCCTACATCGGCTGGTGAAAAGAAAGTCATCATCAGGCAGGGAGCAAATCTGCCCACTGCGTGTGGTAGGGGCTTGGGTGTGGGGCTGGCAGCCCCTTCTTACGTGGGTACTGGATGTGCTGTGTCCCTGGATGCTCCTCGTGCTTGTGGTTTGACTTGATTTGCAGTGCAAAAGGAACGTGTGTGATTGTTGTCCCAGATCTGCTGTCCCTGGAGAGCCAGTGCAGCAAACGATGCTGGGGAGCCGTGAGCAGCATGTCTGAGCATCCTCCCTCAGAGGAGCTACTCTCACAGTTCAGTAGCACTTTGGGACAGGAGGACAGTACCATGGAGTGTGATGCTGGCAAACTGTGATGGCTTTCCTCCTGCACCTGAGCTACCTCAGCTTTGGTTGCAACTGGGAGCATCTCGCAGCCACTGAAACAATAGGAGACTGTTTCTCTTGATCACTTCTGTTTTATTTTTGATTTGAATGGGGCGTGTATTTTTGATTTTACCAAAAACTACTACTAAATTTTTTTTTGTCCCTTCCTATTTGATTGCAAAATTGAGCTCATGCTCTCCCCACTGAACTGGAGCAGCAGCATGTGGGCTAGCTATCTGGAGCTATGGATTTTTAAGGCTACATTCAAGGCTGGAGGAGCAGGAGGGAATTACGATGGACTGCACTCTGGGGGGCTCTAAATATCCCTGTCTCCCACCAACCCTGTGCACACAGTGAGGATGGGTGGGTGGGTGTTGAGTGGCTGTGTTCCTTTCTGCCCTTTCCCTTGCTGAGCCAGTAGAGAGCTGTGGTCGGTGCAGGCACCTGTGTGAGTGTGACAGCCATACCTGTAAGTGTGGTGACATGCTAACCCAGAATAGCAGCTTGGACATGTGGCTCTTATATGCTGCCATCCTACAGCACAGTGCCTGTGAGATACAGGCTGGCACCACAGTGCCCTTGCTACATCCTTAGCACAGGACCTGGCAGTGCCTCTGCCTTGCCTTACTTGTGCTGGCTTACAAATCTGTGTCTGAAGAGAGAGGCACCCAAACGTGTGTATCAAAGTATTTCCCTGGCTTGAGTGGTGAATGGATGAAATGAAATACCTCAAACGTTCCCCACCACCCCTCCATCTGCCTGACCCAGGTAGTGATGCTGGTCAGAGGTGCCCCTTCGGAAGGCTCGCAGGTCGAGGAGCTGCTCAAACGGACTTCTTTGTGCTGGTGGCTCTTCGTAATCAGCACCTGAATCCCATGGCAGGGCCTGGGATGCTTGTGGATTTTCTGCAAAATGTTAAGCGAGACTCTTCCACCTCTCCCTGCTTCAGGCTTGGCTTATAATTCATGCTTGGCACTGTAATTTGGTCAGAAAAAAGGAAAAAAAACCTAAACAAACCAGGATTCTCCTTTATCAGCAAAGCTGTGGCAATGCAACAATCTGAACAGGAGCTTGGTTGCAGCTGATAGAGTGGCCTTTTGCCCAAGGGAACCAGTTCATTTGGTGAGATGGTTTAAAGAACACAACAGTAGGTCCATGGCACAGATGTAGTGATGTTTGGCAGCATTCAGTCCTGGGCAGAGGTCTGTAAAACTAGTCAGTAGCACTGCTCTGCTCCTGGAGAGCACAGTCAGTACAGGCTTGTCTCTGGGTGGTTTATTACAAGGAGATGAGGAAGGCTGAGGGAAAGGAGTCGATCCTGAGATCAGCTATTACAGCAAGTGACAGCCGGTGAAATGCAGCTGTATTTCCTTGGGTGTATGACATCTTGTCTGTGCATCATACCCAAAATATAATTTAATAAGGCTCAAAAGGAGGACAGAATTACATGATTTCGCTTCCTTATTCCCCGTGTTTCTTTTTCATTCATTATCTGTCAAGTAACGTTTGATTTCTCAGTGTGTATGCAGAGCTCGGTTTCATTTTTCTGTTTTCTTTCCTCCCTCCATTTTACCAATTTCCCAAAGAAAATCCCAAACTATAGTTATATCTCCACTCAAGGTTTGTTTGTAGAATGTTATTATGTATTTTTCCAGTGTTTAATAGCTGCTGGGGTTTATTCTTAAAATATAACCACCAAAACCCAATGATCCTAATGAGTCTTCAAGAATGTTTTAAAGAAGTTATCCCAATCCATCTGACAAAGATAATGGTCTTCCATTAGAAGATACTTAGCTGGAGGTTGCATGAACTGTAATGTTTATGGGTCTGTAGATCTGTAACCAGACAAAATCAGAATACCTCCTTGGATTTCAGTGGAGCTATGTCTGTTTATTACAGCTGAGGCTTAGGCAGTGCTTTAGATGCAATTGCAACCTCTGTGAAGTGGGGTTTTGATTTAATTCTTGGAAGCAGTAATGTCAGTAAAGAAGTGAAGGGCTGGGACCCACATACCCTGAAGTCTGTAACTTCGAGTTGTTCTCCTTCCTTTATTGTCAAGATCAGATTCCCTTGGTTGGGGCTACTAATTAAAATGCAGCTTCTCTTAAGCATCTCCCAAAGGCAAGCAAGTGAAAGTGGAAGTGCAGCCTATGCAGATTATCTCTCTCTCTCTCTCCATATTTTGCAGAAAATGGTAGTGGTTAGGTTGTTCTCTCTGACTGCTTGTGGTTGGGCTGTTGACCTGGAGTTTGTGTTTTCCAGCTCCAAAAAATGCAAAGGCTCTATGCTGAGTTATCTGGCTGTGATGCAGAGAGAACTGGGTTCTCCTTTCCCCCTGCTTATTCATGTCCTTGCAGCCATCAGGAGACATGGGCCACCGCTCATCACCCCCACTGTGTGTGGCATAAGTGATTCACCATGCGTTCATTTCTGGTCACATAAGGGCCATTAGTTTAAAGCAGGCTTGAGGCATAGGTTAGCGTTAGCTATTTGAAGTCTGAAGTCTGAAAGCAACATCAAACAGGGAGCAGAAAATGTATCATGCACAGAAAAATCTCTGGGATTTGTTTCTCCCTTTAAAAAATAATAATAATAAATTCCAAACTGTTTGCATATGCTATCTCCTCTGTGGTCAGGACACCTGTCTGCCTCTTTGCAGATACTTGATACGGGCTTACAGTGCTCGCAAAAATGTTAACGCAAATTTTTTGTCATGGCAAATGTGAAAAGAATATCCAGTGTCTGTGTGGGCAGGTCCTCAGCAAATTTTTCTGTGCTTCTTATCCTTTGGTGTGGGTCTGAAGCAACTGCTGCTGTTCTGCTCCTCTTCCATTGCTGCGGACCAGGAGTGCAAAGCTGCTGCCCTGCCAGACCCGGTTCTCCTGAGCAGAGACAGCTGATGGTGGGTCTAATGAGGTTTAACCTGGTTTCCTTAAAAAAATCATGTTTATGAGTGGCTAGATATGTCTCTCCTTCTTCTCTTTAATGACTTAATCCTTAGCTAATCTCAGGAAAATAGAGGTGAGGATGCAGTTAGGAGGAGCTGGAGGTAACCTGGTATAACCAGGAGCATGGTGGGCTGGGAGAGCTGGGGCAGGCAGAGGTGAACCTTTCATTAATCATCCCTAGTATTTTTTGAACTTGCTCATTTATTCTCCAAGACTGAGATGAAAGGAAATAGAAAACACCAAATAGGCTCAAATATCAATAAGCTGGAAGTGTGAAAGACTGCTGGTTGAAAGCAACTTGTGGTAACTTAGAAAACCTGTGGTTTTTTTTTTTAATTGGGTGTCTTTGGAGGCACCCAAAAAGGAAACCAGAGCTGGAGATGGGGGTAGGGTTTGGGCTGTCCCACCCTGACTCTTTTTCCACAATGGCTGTGTGTTTAGTGCATCCCATCTTTGCTTTGGTGCTTCTTGATGATTGCATGGCAAAGCCAGTGCTGTGGGAATGACTCACCGTTGGCCTGAGCGGCAGTGGAGGCTTGGGAAGAAGAGGCCTTTTAAGCATGAGAGGCAGAAGGAAGTCTGGTCAGGCTTTGAAAGGGACTTTGTTACCTGCAGCCCTTACGTCAGTGCCTTTCACCAGCTCTACAGTGATTTAAAACAAGTAGCTTCTCTTCCAAGTAAACCTCAGCTACTTCAGCTCTTGCTCAGATGTAATCTGTGCTGCCAAGGTGTGAAAAACCCTATATGGGTCAAAACAAGGACAGACTGACACGAGTTGTTTCAGAGAGGGGAAAAAAAAGCTATGGTCTGCCCTGTACGGGAGGGCCGCTGGCCTTACATGCCCTTTTGGGGTTGTTTTCTTGGCGAAGTGTTACAGCCACCTTGATTTACTTTCTGCTTTTACGATGAGCAAAATGTTGATTCTGACCTTTCTGTTTGCACCTGCAGGGGTTCCTTGGAAGAGCCTGTCCGTACATCTGTCGGGGTGCCTGAAGGGGCTGCCTTGCTTCCAGGTGAGGAATGGATCAACTCGAGGGGCTTTTGCCAACTGCTGAGTTTAGAGAGAGTGGGAAGACCTTGGTACCACGTTTGGTTGTTCAACAGCTGATGGGCATTTCTCCAAAGCCTGGGATGGTGGGAGGCCAACCTGCCCAGAAGGCTTGAGGTGATTTTACTCTTTCTGAGTCCAGGTCTAGAAGCAGCAAATGTTCAGGCCCCTCTGGGAATGGGGGTGTTGTATGGGAACAATTGCTTGGTCTTGTGGGCCATATTGCTTTGACTCCTTTTTGAACAAAGCTTTCTTGCTTGTGGACCTGAACTCATTCCCCATCCATAGTGTGGCTCTCTGCAGGCTGGAGACACTCCCAGCTGGTGATGGAGAGCTGACTGTATTATTAGTTTTAATCAACCATGCTTCAGTGGATGAGTAGAAATTCATATGAGGAGCAAATTAATTTCAGGAACAGTGTCAGGGCAATGGGTGTGTCCTCAAGCCTCTCTGTTGTGCCATCCCAGGAGACAAAAGGGTACTAGGGGTGCTGCAAAGTCATGGCTCCTGTGGGAAGAAAGCAGCGTGCAGCCCTTCTGAGAAGCAGATAATGAATGAACCGCTACCCTCGTGATTTTGACTAGTGGAGCTTCTTTATTTGCCATGATGTTACCTGACTTGAGGACCGTGAGATGTCTGTGTGCTATGCCAAAATTAGGAGTAGTGCTTCTTCACCCTCTTGTGTCACTGAATGTAAAGACACTTTTGTTCTGCCCTTTTGCTATACAATGCACATCCCTCCTTTCTTCCTTTACCCTCTTCTTGGGTTTAATTTTTGTGGGTTTTTTTGTTGTTGTGTAAATTATGGCTAGCTGGAGATGAGATTTCAGCATCCTATTTGCTGCAAACAGGGGTCATTAATAAATGTTGAAAGACAAAGACAGACCAGGGATTAATAAGCAGAGGACAGGAGATTAATAGCAAGAGAGTAGAATTTGGTTCAAGGCCTGATCTTCCCAGTTGCTGGGTTATGGAAGATTAATGGCAGCTCTTCTGTTAATCTCACTCTTTCTGTGGCAGCTTTCCTGGCTAAGTCTAATAAACTGTCCCAGTGGGTTGCTGTAAATATGAAATCTAGGAAGAAGCCAATCCTTTTATACTGTTAACTAAATAAGGCAGTATTAGTTTTGCTTTCTGTTCAGAGCTTGAGCAATAACATCAATACATTTGTGAGTGGTAAAGTTAGATCTTCAGGTACTTACTACTCCTCTCAAGACAAAAACATATCATAAAATGTATCTTGCCAAGCAAGCTGTCTCCAACAAATTGGTTTTTTACTCTGTGTCTTGTGCAAGAGATTAATTTCTCTTCTCCTGACTGGGTTTTCAGCTTTCTTTCTGTGAAAAATTGGGCTCTTGACCTCTTGCATCTGGCTTCTCATTAGGCTCGACGTGAGATTAGATCATTTTAAGAGAACACTAACTTTTCAAAGAACATTCCTGGTTAAATTTGCTGGGGAACTGTAGAGCATGGGACTATGTCACAGAAAGGGTGCATGGAGTTCTGGGTGTCCTATAGAGATTGTCAGCCTCCCTCTCCTACCTTTAGGCTGAAACTGCTGAGTCAAGCACCCCTGTAGTCCTTTGACCTCTGCCCTTGAGTATTTTCCGTAGTCTTCACAAAGATGAACCCAAGCTCTTAGTGCATAGGGTTATAGTGAAATCTAGGTATGTGTTCCTGTAACAGTGAGCGTGATGAAGCCAGGGCTAACATCAGAACTTCAGCAAATATCCATCAAAACTTCAGCAATAGCTGAATTTCTTTTCCAGGGAAGAAAGGGTGTACACTGCTTCAGTGGCCCTGTAACAAAGCTTTTCCCCTCTCATCTGCTCTTGCATGCAGTGCCCTTGGCTTTTCAGAAGTTAATTGATTTGTCTATATTATTATTCTCTATTTAATTTTATTTGTGTAAAGAAGAACACACGCTAATCTTTCTCCAGAGAAATGTTTCCCATTGCTCCTCTTTGAACCTTGGCCCTGGGTCTGCTGTTTCTTAATGAGTGTCTAACTAAACAACTACAGTTCCCACATGCTCCAGCCTTGACACAGACATACTTGCACACCCACGTGCCTGCTCCCAGTTGAACTGAGCAGCCTGCCTGCTCCCTTGCCCTCTGGCTGCTTTAGGATTCACGTTAGCAGGGCGGCATCTCCCTGGGAAGCCCTACATGCAAGAGGGGGCTTTATACCTGCGGGTAGAGATAGATTTGGCATCAAATGAGCTGTCCTATGAATTGGAAGGGCTGTAACCTCTTTACCACGCTGTGCCCCCACCCCCAGGCTTGTTTAATGTGCTTCTCCAGGAGCCTGGATTCCTGTGGGCTGCGCTGCCTGCGGCGCAGACCCAAGCGAGTGCCGAGCGCCGAGCTGAACACCCAATGCTGAATTACTGTCTGGTATGCCACTGGCTGCCAGATCTTTGATAGCTTGTTTTTAATGAAGATTCCTCCTGTAATTCCTAGAATATCTTGCAGTGCAAAAAATGAACGGTGTGTGTATTTTGCTGTGGGCTGAATTTTTTCCTGCTCTTCACAGTTCCCTCCGTGAACAGAGAGGAAAGGGAGGGGGAAGCAGCTGACTGCTTTTTTTTTGGTTGTTGTTGTTTTTCTACTTGACTTCTGTGAAATATGTGGCGATCAATCGCTCACAACTAACAAAATGTTTTTGTTTCTCTTTGCAAAAGCATATGGGAACTGCAGGAAAAGCATATGGGCCTTTTTAGGAAAACATATTGGTGAATGGACAAATTATAGTGGTGCCAATATGTTTTGGATGTCTGGCTAGACCACTACTACTACCACACTTGCTGGCATGCAAACACATCCACAAGATTTCCAGCATGCGAGGGGTGTGTAGTTGCTCCTGGGGAAAGGCAGGCTGTGCTGGATCAAACTCCTGTTAGAACAGTGCTGTGATCCATCGTCGGTGTGCGTGACTGCCTCACCATGTCCCGGGCTAGGCTCATGTTTATGGCAGCATATCCATTCTCTCTGAGCCCAGAGCTCCACTTGCAGCTGGCTGCAAGCAATGATAATGGTAACCATTTTTCTTTCTGAAGCCCTGGACTGTAGTCCTCTTGAAGCCTGAGCATCTTGCAAACAGGCTGGGCAGCCTCTGGTTTTCCTCTGCTGCTCTATTGAGACCTTTATGTGTTGGCTTGGGCTATTATTTTTAATTTTTCTATCAAGGGGTTTACTTTTGAGGAAATGCAGAACATTTGCATTATTGCTTCTTTTCCCAGTCCTGATTGCCCTGATACTGGTGACCCATGGAAAGGCATCCATGAGCAATAGGGGGATTAAGTGCTCTTGGTTGGTAGGTTGGTTCTGGTGGCTCACAGCATCCCTACAGTGTGAGCTGCCCTGCTGTGGACCCCTGTACAGGGAGAAGTCCTTGACAGCTCCAACTGGGCAGTCCTTCCCGCTCACCCTGGCAGCGAGGGAGTGCTGCCTGCTCTGCCTCTGCCTGTGATGGGCATGGCTGTACTGGGCTGCAGGGGTTGGTAGCAGTTCTCTGCCCACACTGGGTTTCAGCAGGTCCCAGGGGACTGGCTGAGGTCTCCTTGCACAGATGTGCACAGGGGTAGACACCTCCTGTCTGTAAGAGCTTACAGTCTAAGTGGACAAAACTGAGCTGCTGAGAAGGATGTGAAGGTCTGTGAGTGCTGGGGAAGATGGGCAATAACTGAACTCAGGTGTGGTTTCATGAGCAGGTTCAACTGGTCTGAGTTTGTACCATTGTTAGAAGAGGTGGTCCTGCTGTTCCTGTGCCCTAACCCTCATTTCTGCTCATAGAGTAATTTTTATCCTTTGTAAGATAAAAGTGAGTGGTGAGACAGAGGAGGAAGCAAAACATGTGGCTAAAGAGTGAGGGGATAAGCAAGATGCACATTTGGTCAGTCATTTTGACACAGTGTTGTTTATCTCAGTTATGAACCTGCACTCAAATATTCTGAGTGGTAATTCAGCACCTTTTAGTGTTCTTCCTCTTATGCCAACTTCAGGATGATTTGCTAGTGAGTAATTTTACATTATTTAATGTAGCCACTTTCCATATAGCTCTTTTGTTCTGTGAGACAATTCCCTATTTTATTATGCAAACGGTACATTAAGATCCTTGTGGGCCTAAGTTCCCAGCAGTGCTTGAGATGATGGCAGAGAAAGAGGTTATTTCAGAAATCATGATTCTCTCCTCTAGAAGCTTTCTTGGAGTTCTGCTTTAACTGCTTTTGGTATTATACATGCTTAAAAAAAAGAAAAAGTTAAAAAAATCCAGTACTTCCTAAATGTTATAGAGCTCAAAAATACACTATATGCCTTGTCACAATATTTAATACAGAGTGCTATTTACAGTAATGAATCAAAATGTCAGTTTTTAAAATATGAACTGTCAGAGTGTTCCTACTTTGCAGAAAACTTTGATATGACAGTTTGTTAATCATATGACTATTACATCAAATGTGTCTAAGAGTACTTTTGCTAAACGAAGTCTTTTTTTATTCTTTTCCCTGTTAATTCTGGTAGGGTTGTTTGATTGAATACACTTTGATTAGTGGTCAGAAGAATCCAGAACTGAATGCTTTTGTGTACTGACAAAGGGGATGTACCACTGCCTGTGTTCTTGCTGGTCATGGTCACCTAGTCTTAGGTACAGCCTGGTTTGGATCACTTTCCCTTGTGTGGTCATCCCAGATCTGCTGTGTGCAGGGCTCAGGCTCAGAAACGAGCCCTGACAGAACAGTGCTGATGCCTTCAGGGGTAACTCTGCATTTGGGGCAACTGGGCTAGAACTGTCTATTCAGTAATAAAAAGCTGACTTGTACAGTAGCACTACTAATCCCTATAGCTTTAGCATGAAGGCACAAGTAAAATAAAGAAAAAATCAATTTAAAAATAAAAACAAAAATAAAAATAAAGGCTGCCCACACCTCCTTGATGAGCTGAAGGGCTGGTTGTGCAGGGCAGG